ATTCTGGCAAATCGGATACAAAAACATATCAAAAAGATCGTGCACCATGACCAAGTAGGATTAATCCCCAGGATGCAAGGCTGGTTCAATATACGGAAATCAATAAATGTAATTCACTACATCAATAGACTTAAAGATAAGAACTACATGATCATCTCGATAGATGCTGAAAAAGCATTCGACAAAATACAGCATCCCTTTATGTTCAAAACACTAGAAAAATTAGGGATAACAGGAAATTACCTCAACATGGTAAAAGCTATATATGCTAARCCTCAGGCCAGCATCATTCTAAATGGAGAAAAATTGAAGGCATTCCCTTTAAAATCTGGAACAAGACAGGGATGCCCTCTCTCACCATTTCTATTCAACATAGTACTTGAAAAACTAGACAGAGCAATTAGACAGACGAAAAAAATTAAAGGCATAAATATAGGAAAAGAAGAACTTAAATTAGCACTATATGCTGATGACATGATCCTATACCTAGCAGACCCAAAAAGTTCAACAAGAAACTTCTAGAACTAGTAAATGAATTCAGCAAAGTGGCAGGATATAAAATCAATACCAATAAATCAAAGGCATTCCTGTATATCAGTGACAAATTCTCTGAAATGGAAATGAGGACAACTACTCCATTTACAATATCTTCAAAAAAATAAATAAATAAAATACCTGGGAATCAACCTAACAAAAGAGGTTTTTGAGAAAGAAATAGAAGAAGACCTTAGAAGATGGAAGGATTTACCTTGCTCATGGATTGGTAGAATTAATATTATTAAGATGGCCATATTACCAAAAGCACTTTACAGATTCACTGCAATTCCCATCAAAATCCCAATGACATTCCTTGCAGAAATAGAAAATGCAATCATGATACTGTTATTTTTAAGATCGACAATTCCATCTGTTTATTTTATAGATTCTAATTCTAGTCTAAAATACTACATCTTCTCATCTATTTTACTGAGCATATTAGCCTTAACCATTTTGGAGTGTAAATCTGATAATTCAATTACATGGATATCCTCTGGGATGTTTCTATTGTCTATTTTTCTCTTGAGTTTCAGATAATTTATCAGGTCTCCTAGTAGGCAGTTTTGATTGCCTATTGAAAATTGTAAGCAAAATATTTTAGAGGTAATTTGAAGTTCTGAATTATATTATCTTTCTCCAGAAGAAACAGGTAATAAAAGTAGAACCCAGTCCCTTAAATCAGTCTAGAATTGACATGACTTTAAAGATAGATACGAGTATTTACAAAGGCTAGACTATTTTGGATTTCTCTCTACTCCTAACATATAGCCCATTCAGTAGTTTCAACTAAAAAAACAAGGGAAGGATTACCATTACTTCTGATGCTCTGAATGCTAACTTTTGTCTCCCTTTCCCTATGAAACTGAATGCCTATTCATCTTCTCAGCTGGAGTTTCCCCCTCAGCTTCTTAACATCTCTGTACTATTTCTGAATCAGGAATTACTTTGAAGGGAAAATAGGTGATGTTTGAGCTTCTGCTTTCTTTGAAAATCTGGCCCTTCAAATTATTACAGTTATGGCAATTCTCTAATGCCTTCTAATGTTATTTTTCATATAACTTTTCTAGTTGTTTGTAGGAAAGCTAGTCTGATATAAGTAATTCCACCATAGCTGGAAATAAATATCTTCAATATGTATTAAAATTTAAAACATATATAACCTCAGACCCAGAATTTCCACTTCTACTATTTTATCCTACAGAAAAATACAACATGGACCCCCAAAATATGTAAAATAATGTTCACTCCAGCATTATTTGTAATAGCAAAAGACATTTAAACTCAATAAAGAATAATGTCCACTAATAAAAAATAGGTTTGATTATAGCATATCCATGTAATTGAACACAATGACTATAAACAAATGCCATGGATTTGTACGTGGTAAAATGTAAGATGAAAAAAATATGTATAGTATGCGCCAATTTAGGTAAAAATGGATAAACACATGCATATATATTTGCATATGCCAAAATGTTTGTGAAGAAACACATTAGAATAGAAAAGAGAAGTAACTCTGGGGAAAACACAAAACATGAGTGCTTGGAATCACTGGAAGATTATTTTTTTTTGTCTTGAGTTTATTATTTATATAATACAAATGTTAATTTTACAATAAACACTATGAAGAAAATAAGATATACCATGAAAAATATTATAAAGAAAAGAGCAAACTGCTACTCCAAGAAGGATTTTTTGTTGTTTTTTAAGCAAAAAAGTCTCACAGTAGTGAATTATGAATTTAGACTTTAAATATATCCTGAATTTAGCTAAGTAAAGGAGGGATAATGCTCAGAGAAGGGGATTAGAATCATCAGTAGTTCAAAATTGATGAAACACAGGATATATGTAGTAGATTGTCATCTTACAAGCCTGATTTTCCTCAAGGATACATGAGTCAAGGGAAGGTGTTTAAACATTTTATTCTGAGGCAACGAGAAGCAACTCAAAAATTTATAAGGAAAGTGTGATAAGATCACCTTTGCACTTCCTGTGCATTGTGGTTGTGGAACTGTGGATAATGAATCAACAAAGGAAAAGACAAACAGGAGAAAAACTTAAGCTAGAATCTAGCTGCAATAACCTAGAGGGGACTCTACTGTGGTTAACAATTGAGTATAAAAGGGGGCAGATAATGAGATTTTAGAAGGCAGAATTAAAAGATTTAGGGCTTTATTTATCAACAAAGGAGCATATGAAATCATTTATTACTATTTACTTTTTTTGACGTGGACAACTGTGTAGATAATGGAGCTCTTCACTGCCAGAAAATGGCACTGATAAGTTAGGATAAGTAGAACTCAGTTCTATTTTGTTGAAGTTCAGTATTTGGGTGAATTTAAAACTGGTSGGGAAATCAGGTCCGGAAATAGATGAGGAACATAAATTTAATTGTTCTAAGATTCAAGTTGGCAGTTGAATTCATTGAGATATTTAAGATCATCACAGAAAGAAGGCTAGGGATGCAACCATACATATAAGAAATAGATTCTATATGAAAAGCCTCAACAAGAAAATAAGTACTCAGAAAATCTTCAGAAGTGAGTAGTATCATAGTTTCAAGAGGGCACATATTCTTTCAGAGATATCTAGAAGTATGGGGTCTTAAATGTGTCAGTGGTATTAAGAAACTAGAAGATGATATACTGTACTTAATCCCTGTGTCAGAATTACCTAGTGCTTGAGTAAAGGTCATCATCTTTTGTCCTTCTGAACTGAAATTTCTTGAGGTTAAATGAGCATATGGTTTTTAATAATGTTACCAGTGAACTATATTTTTAGATCTGAAAACAACTAGAATAGATTGTAAATGCTTCAAGAATAAGGATCATGATTGATTAATTCATCACGTATTCTTAGTGCTGTCTGCAGCATTTGTCACCTAACAGACCCTCAATAAATGCTAAATAATTTAAATATGGGATGAATAAGTAGATGAAAAGATGAACAAGTACCTGAATGAAAAACTAAAGAACTAATGCCTACCAAAATCTTGGCAAGATTATTAGAGTTTATGTTCTAGTATGGCAATGGAGGGCAATAAAGATACATAAGACAATGTGGAAAGACTGCTCTAGCTTGGCCAGCTAGGAAGAGGTTCTCTGAGGCGGCTATATTCGAGCTGTCAAATTATAAAAAGATACTAACCTTGTGATGGTCTGAGGAAAACATGCCAGGAAGGGTAAAGTTCAAGGAGAAAAAATGGTGGTAAATGTGCTGAAATAATAAAGAGGCATATGTGGCAATGGCTCAGTGAACAATATGGAAACTAGTAAAAGGTAAGCCTGAAAAGACTGATAGGATGCTGATGATACAGGGTCTCACAGGTTGTGATCTCATAGGAGTTTAGTTGTTACTCTAGCTTCAAAGAGAACCCATTTAAATTTTAAACAAAGCAGTGGTATAATTTGATTTACACTTTAAAAATGTCACTCTGGCATCTGTATGAATAATGAATTACAGAGGGCAATGGTGGAAATAAGTAGACCTGTTAGGGGCTGATGTAATATGCCAGACAAGAAATGCTTATGGTGTAGAGGTAGCAGTATAGAAAGTAAGGTATGCTTGAATTTAGAATATAATCTGGAGACAGAGCGGACAAGATCATGTTCATGTGTCACATATAGGAGGGGAGAAAGAAAGACTCCAAAGAATTTTGATTTAGCCTGCAGACAATGGCATTCATTTAGTTTTGAGGCATGAGGCAAAATTTGGGAAAAAAAAAAGTAGAATGCAGAGGAAAATTTGGAGGTGTCAGTTTAGGTCTGAAGTGACAGGCATCCATATTAAGATGAAGACAAAGGGAATGGTAAAGAACAATGATATAAAAGCCAAATCAAGTATGTAGGGATGTAATTTGTGGTCTCTGTAGGCACTGGAGCATAGAAGAGAAATATGAGCTAGAAAGATTTAAGAATTATCAAAATAGTCTTAATAATTAAAGCCGTGTGTGTAACTGTGATCACCCAGAAAAAGTTTATAGAGTGAAAATGGAATATCTACTATGAACAACTGGCAAAAGAGATGAAGAATGACCAGAAAAAAAAGAAGGAAAACTAGAGAAGTGTGGCATCATTTTGGTGAATAGAAACATTTCAAGGAGTGCTTGTAACTGGCAAATAAAAATTAATGTCTACTGAGTTTAATAAAACAGGATCATGATCATCTTAGAGCTGTATCCATTTAGAGGTGAAAGAATTCAGACTCCAGATACATGAGACATCTGAGACCAGGAAGTAATGACAAAGAATATAGATAACACTCCTAGTTTTTTTTTTTTTGTTTGTTTGAAGCAAAGATGATTTTCATAATTTTAAACGTTTTTTTTATATTCATTAGAAGTATAATTTCATAAGACATGCAATAAATATTTCTAAAATAAAAATCATTTTTATAGTCATATGCATAGCCCTTCTTTTTTCTTCCTTTATGATTCTATATTTTGAAAAGTAACATATTCTTACCTCTAAGAGATAAGGCTCCATCTCATCCAGTGTTTTCCCAAGATGTTTATCTGGATCTAAACCTGCCAAGAAAGATTTAAGTTTTTCTAGATAACTGTAGATAAAAACTTAAAGACATATTCACCTTCCTTTTGCCCCTCTTACCTAGGAAAGCAGTGTGAATATATTTTAAGTTGCTTTTGTCTTAAAGTAAAATGTACTTTGCTAGTATTTACTTTCCTATTCTTCTTTTTGTGCTGATTTTCTTGCTCTTAAAAATAAGTTTCAGTTCATTCCAATAGCACTGCATCAATAATTAGATGCATTATTTTGATTCCTTTCTCTTTTTTGAGAAATTATAGTTAGAATGGGAAAAAGTATAATTTTAAAGATGTGAAATTTAAATTCTTGGTATTTTAATCATTGCAGTTTAGTTTACTCATGAACAACAATATGAATTTTCTGATTTATCCTTATTTAATTAAAACTTGAAACTTTGCCCTTTATGCTTGTAACTGTAGCAAGTTATGAGGCTGATGCTGGAGGATTTTAAGTTCGAGATCAGCCTGGACAACTTGGGGAAATGCTGTCTCAAAATAAAAATAAAAAGAATTGGGGATGTAGCTCAGTGGTAGAGCACCCCTGGGCTCAATAGCCATGAATGAAAGCAGAAAACAGAACAGTGGTAGAATGTTCTATCTATATAATTAATTTGCTTAATAGTATCACATGAGCACAAATAATCGTATTATTAAATAAACTGACATTTTGTTTTTATGACTACTTGTGCAACAATGTGTTTTCCAAGAAAAAGGAAAAACAACTCTAAAATCACTATTGTGCCAAGAGCATTTTCTTAGGCTACAATAAACAGATTCAATTAATATAACAGTAGAGTATGTGAGTGATGGAGCTATAATAAGAGGGGAGGAAAACTCATACCACAAATCAACTACAGAATTAAAGAATTCATTTTAGATATTTATTTCTATATGTACATTTATGGATTTAACTCCATTTAAGTAAGTTATTTTTATTTATTATTGATTAAAACATTCAGATTCTTAATTATACAAACTGATTAATAGTTTTCTTTTTTCAGTTGGATGCCTTTCTTAAGTAACATGACCTTTTTTCCTTTCTCTATCTTTTAGTACTGGGGATTGAATCTGTGGTGCTATACCGTTGAACTAGTCCTTGTTTATTTTGAGATGGAGTGTCACTAAATTTTCCAGGCTGAACTTTAAAGTGTGTTCCTGAGTAGTTGGAATTTCAGGAATGCACCATCACACCCAGCAACATGACATTTCTTACAACCAAAATTTCATAGTTCCAAGGAGAAATGTAGGACTTATGGCTTCTTCTGCTATTATGTATTATGTTAGATCATATTCAAATCAAAACAACTCAGACTGGTAGCATGGGTACATTATTTAAGTTAGCTTCCTTCATAGCAACCTAATTCTTGTGGTAGGCTGGGTGAACACATAAATGAACACTTGACTATGTCCAATTACATTGCAATTCAATATATAAAATAAATAAATAAATGAAATACTTTGAAGTAACATAAAATTTTATAAAAATTAACATTTTGCTACATAAGCTTTTTTTTTAAGTACTAAAATTGAATCTAGGGTCTCATTCATGCTAGGCAAGTGTTCTGAGCTGCATCCCTAGCCCTCACTAACTTTTCCTTAAGAAATTAAATACCACCAATGCAACAGAATTTCATAACCTATCTACCACTAATCAATATGCTCTACTCTTTTTCCATATGGATAATCACTCTTCTGAAGTTAGTGTAATACTTTTCAACTTTGATTTTGTAATTTTACTACAAATCTATGTCTATAAAACAGTATTTAGTATTGTTTGTGAATGTTAAAATTTTGCACAAATGATACAATCTTAAGAATTTTTTCAATTCACATTGTTAATGAGTTATGCAAATTTATTACTGTGGCTCTGGTTCATATTTTACCACTGAATTGCATTCCATTATATGGATGTATTCTCCAAGAGATGGACAGTTGGTGATTGGGTTGGTTCTGATTTCTTATTTACCATTGGTATTTTTTTGTACTATGGTGAATATGCTTTAGAATAGAATTACTACCAGAGAGGAGAATAAATATTTTTATATATGCCTGTTACACACATGTGTATCTTTCAATTCTATTAGATATTGCCAAATTTTTCCCTAAAGCAGTATTACTAATTTATACTTCCAACATCAGGGAATTATAATTCCCATTTCATATATTGCAAAAATAATTTAGTGTTGTTAAATGCTTTATTTATTAATTTTTGTGTTGCTGTGGTTTAAACTTGTGGCTTCACTCATGTTAGACAAGTACTCTATCTCTGAGTTATACCAGATGTCAAATGTTTTGGCAATCTGATACATATACATACAAACATATATACATACATATGTATGTATATAAAATTATTTCACATATTGTTTTAATTCCCATTTTTTGATTACTGAAAGAAATTATTGTCTCATATTTCATTGCCTATTCATTCAGATTCTCACTTCTATGAATTGTTTACCATTTGGTAATGGTAAGTTTTGTCTTTTATTTGATGATTCAAGTTCTTGATATATTCTAAATGCTAATCTTCTTTATTATGGGCATTAAATACCTTCTCTAATCAGTCAACTGTCTTTATACTTTGTTTTGGTGGCAGTGTAGTGTATTTTGATAAATGGTGTTTTGCATTTTATAGTAGACAAGTGTGTATTTGTAAGTTTTTCTCTTTTGGGTTGATTGTCTGTGTGCTTTACAATTTTTCTAATAGACTCAACTTTTTTTTCCATAATTCTGAAGCAAAGCCATTATTAGTCTTGTGCTTATCAAATTTGTTTATATTATGAATTTGATGATGTTATTTGTATGCCATTAGTATGATGAATTTATTTGGGGACAGAATAGTTTCTTATTGGTTGTTGTTTTATTCTTGACAGACCTTACCTGATGTTTGTCATCTAAGGGGGTCTTATCAAAGTGCCAAATTTTTGTTTGTGCCTTTAGTGTTTCTTTGCCTTTTCATTTTCTTAGATTTTTGTCTTACTTTACCATTTTCTTCCTTCTTATTTTTAAATGTTTGCTAAATAGCTTATTTAATTCTAGCTTCTTGATTTGAACACTTGATTTACTTATATTTACATCTTTTTAAAAAATAGGATTTAAATACCAATATTGCACATCCAAAAAATTTGAGAAATTACACTTTAATTGTCATTTAGTTTTCCATATTTCATGATTTTTATTGCTATTAAGGAATCACTCTTGTGTGAACACATATATTTTCACTACTTTTTGTTGTTTACTAATTTGATTGTATTGAGGTTAAAGACTGCAGTCGTTATGATAATAACTCTTTAAAATTTGGTTAAGTTCAATAGTTAAACCTTACAAAACAGAATGTACCAGGTCCAGACAGATTCACTGGTAATTTAACTAAACATCTAAGAAACAAATTATACCTATTCTCTATAGTCTCTTTTATAGGACAGAAGCAAAAAATATTTTCAAAAACACATTTTAATGAGGCCAGTATTACCCTACTACCAAAGTGAAAGCAATTACAAGAAAACTAAACACTAATATCTCTCATGAACACATGTAAAAATCTTCAACAAAATATTAGCAAATGGAACTTAAAAATATGTAGGTATACACTACGACCAAGTAGATTTATCCCTGGTATGGATGGCTAGTTAAACATCTGAAAATCAAGTAATGAAATCCATTACACCAGCAGAATAAAACAATAGTAAAAAAAAATCACATGATCCTATCAATAGATGTGAAAAACATTTTACAAACCCAACATTCATTTATGATAAAAAACTTTCAGTAAACTAGAAATAATGGAGAACTTCCTCATGTTATCAGAACCCTAATGATAATATCATATTCAATGGTGAGAAACTGAAGTTTTCTCACTAAGATGGGGAACAAGAAAAGGATATCCCATTTCCCTACTACTTTCAAAAAACTTATTAAGTTTTGCTAATGGAATGGAGAAGGAAATAAAATATATACAGTATAGAAAAGAAGAAAGAAAAAAACTATATTTGTTTAAAGATGACATAATCATATATGTAGAAAATCTGAAAGAGTCAAGAAAAAATATTATAGGAATTAATAAATGATTATAGAATGATTGTAGAATACAAGGTTAATACACAAAACTCAATTGCTTTCCTACATACCAGCAATAAACAAGTGGAATTTGTAATTAAAAATACAATGTTATTTACTCTAGTACTCCCAAAATAAATTAAGGTATATATTGACCATAATATAAATAAGATCTATGTGAGGAAAACTGCAAAACTCATGAATGAAATCAAATAACTAAATAAATGAAGATATTCACACTCCTGGATAGAATCAATAATGTCATGTTTTCCCCACTGTATACATATATTTATAGCACTGACAAACTACCAGAATGTTGTGGGTATGAACAAACTAATTCTAAAGTACATATGGAGGGACAAATGATCCAAGGTAGTCAACACATTAATGAACAAAGTCAGAAGTCTGATAATACTTTAAGACTTACGATGAAGTTATAGTAACTAAGACAATGTGGCATATTGGCAAAATAGAACAGAGAAATAAATCAAAAAAGTAAAACAAGGAACCCAGACACAGATCCACAAAAGTACAGTCTTATGATTTTTGGCCATGGAGCAAAAACAATATAATGGAGAAAATATAATCTTGAATAGTTCTTGAATAGGTGAAAGATTCACATACAGAAATGTATCCAGACAAAAAAACCTTATACCTTTCACAAAAATTGATCCAAAGAATTGAACCCAATCATTTAACATTCAATATTATCTGTCTGGACCTATTTTTATTATCTTGGTGTCTGTATTAGTCCATTTCGCATTACTATAATGAATTGCCTGAGGTTTTGTGAATTTTATCAACAAAAGAGATTTTATTTTGGCTCACCATTCTAGAAGTTCAAGGACAAGGGACTGCATCTGGTGATGGCCTTCTGACTAAGAGTCCCAGGCTGGCATATGGCATCACATAGCAAGAGGTAAGGA